CCTGGTGCCGAGGCCCCAGGAGGGTGCTGTTTGCAAAGGAGCTAGAGAAGCCTCTTTGTCCAGATGTTGAAAATTTGGCTTGTCAGACTGCTCCAGATATCTGCAGCCAGCCAATGGTGTGTTCCCAGAAAGATGCCTGTCCTGTGAGGGGTTGACGACCAGGCCCAGGCTGGGCTTGAGTGAGGTGGGAGAATGCTGTGGGGGTTGCCGCCATGGTGGGTGTGTCTGTGCACATGTGTGTGGGAACATGTCAGGAGGGGGCAGGTTCCTCCCAGGGGGAAAGCTGCATGGAGCTGGAGATGCTGGGACTGCAGAGACAGAGCTCATCCCACCCCAGAAGAGCAGGTTGGTCCCTCCAGGGCCACACAGCCACAGCTGCCTTGCCAGGGCCAGGGCCACCCTGGGTGCTGTGCACCATACCTCATGAGCAGCCTTGGCATGTGCAGAGGGGAGCTGGTCCTGAACTACCTTGGCTTGCACAGGTGTGCATGCCCGCACACACCTCTTATATGCATGTGTGTCCACACTTGCATACATGTATCCCCGAGTACCTGTGTCCTGTGTGTACATGTTCACGTTCACGTGCATGCAAACACAAACACCCTGCGTGCACACGTCCACACACTGTGCATAAAGCACTGCATGCATGTCTGTACATGCCCCTCATGTGCAGTGTACCACATATGTGCCCAGGTGCACATGTAATGTATGCAGAGGTATATGCATTTAAGTGTATGTACATGTGTGTGCACATTTGCATGCTTACAGTGCACAAGTCTACTCATACATGTGAGTATGCACACTAGCATGCACAAGCACAGTATACTGTGTGTATACACATGCACACCTATATGCACCACATTGCACGTGTACATACCACACTGCACGTGCCCACTGCTGCAGGCAGACTCCAGGGTAGGGCTGAGCTCTGTGCTGTCTCCTAGGCCTGCTCACTGTCACCTGGCTCTTTCAGACAGCTCCTCAGCCCTTGCGCTCTAGGCTGTCTGTCACTGCCTCATGGCCTCTGGACATGGGTGCATGCTGTTCACAGGGCTCAGCCACACTTGGCCCTGTCTGTCCCTGGGCTCTTCCTTCAAGGATAGTTGCACAAGGTTCCTCCTCCAGGAAGCCTCCCTGGTGGCCCTGGCTGGATCTGGGCCCCTTTGCTGTCCTCCTACATGCCGTTCGGAAGCTCAGTTGAAGTGTGGTGATAGTGGTGCCAAGGGCAAGGCTGAGAGTGCCTGTCCTCAAGCCTCAGTCGTGCTAGATGCCCTCCGGGCGAAGGCGGCCCAGGAGAGAACGGGCCTCCACCTGGCAGCGTCCAGTGCAGACCCTGGCATCCCACACCCCACAGCCCTTTCCGCCTGGTTTTTGGGCCTCTGGAGCCACCAGGCGTGAACTTAAACCCCGGTCACTCCGTAGGTGCTGCCCAGCAGGCCATGCACCTCTTGCCTCCCTGGGCTCCGTTTCCCCGTCTGTGGGATGGAGGCCTCAGGCCAGGTAGTTCGAGGTCCACACTGGCCCTGAGTGTCCTCCTCTTCCTGCATGTGGCCATGAGCTCCCAGCTGGGGGTCGTGGCTGCCTGTCCCTCTGTGTCCTCACAGGTGCCTGCATGGGCGGGGAGTCCCGTCTCTTGAGCCCGGCTGGTGCTGGGGCAAGGGGAGCTGCCGTCTTTTGGCTGCACGCCCAGGGAGCGGCTTTCTCCTGGGAGCCAGGCTGAGCACGTTCCCTTAGGTTTATGTGAAATTTCATTTTTAAAGATGAGGCAGGGAAAAAAAATGAGGCTTGCTTTTCTCCCCGCCCCTCCCAGAAGATTTCCAGAAGCCAATCTGTCTTGTCAGACTGTGGCAGGATCCGCGGCCCGGCCGGCTTCGTGCACCGGCCCGCAGACCGAATCCATTGCATATTGATCAGCGGTGATGGGTTTGGCACAGCTGAGTTCCGACAGCAGGCTGAGGCCCTCTGGAGGGAGGGCCACTCTTGGGACTGGCTCAGATTGGCAAGGAGCGTAATGGATTAGAGCGGAGGGCTGGCGGCTCTCGCCAAGGACCTGCTGAGGACCTCGAGACTGGCTCCCACCCACCTCTGCTGTCCTGGCTGCCCCACTCTGGCCTCCAGGCCACCCCTGTAGTCTGCACCATTTGGGCCTGGCCCCTTCCTTAGGGATCTGCCGCTGCCCCGGGCACCTGACCTGGCATCCAAGACCCTCGAAGGCCCAGCCTCCACTATAGCCTCCGTTCGTTCCCTCTCCATCCAATCCAGACGTTGCAGAGCATGGTCTGTGGGTCTGCCCTGAAGCACGGCTGTGACTCTGCTCTCCCACTTCCTGGGGGCCTGGGGGACGGCTGGGCTGGGCTGGGCTGGGCCTGACTCGGTCTGATGAGCTTGGCTACTCGGCCTTGGGAAGCCACCTTTTTTCTAGCTTCTTGGCTGCTGTGCAATCTCTGCAGAAGGGTTCTTTGGCCTGGGTCCTGCTCACTGTAGAGGATGCAGGAGAGAGGCCATGTTGCCCAGGCCCAGACAATGACCTCCCTGATGACAGGCAAGAAATGTGCAAAAAGGCCATTGCTTTCTTTCCTGCTTGGTCATGTGTAAAGATGTGATGTCAGGCTCTGCAGCAGCTGTTGTATGATCAGGAGGAGAATGAAAGCCACAAAAGAAGAAGCTGTGTTCCTAATGCCTCTGTTTCTGGGTCTCCATGAACCCCCCTGAGTCACCTCTGGCTAGACATCTTCCTGCTCAGGGAGTCATGAGACAGTTTTCTTATCAAGGCCATCAGCATTCTGTCACTATCTCCAACACCATCTCCATCACCTCCATCATCACCATCACCATCTCCACATCCATCACCTTCATTACCATCGTCACCACCTTCATCACCACCATCACCATCGTCAGCACCAGTCGCCATCAGCACCCTCACCCTCAGTGCTGATCCTTATGTCTGGTCCTGGGTGACGTGTGGGTCTTCACAATGTCCCTCCAACCATTCCCTGTCCTCTGCCTGCACATCCAGGTGACAGGGAGTTCGCTGCTTTTGCAGTTGGCCACTTTTACTTAGGTGGCTCTGATTTCAACAGAGCACAGAGTCCTGCACCTGTCTGTCCTCAGCCTCCTCCTGGGCTTGGGGTCCCAGACCAGTCAGCCGAGCACGCGGCCACGGGAGCCTGAGAGGTGCTTCCCCCAGCCTCCACGGCACTGGCTTCCCCAGGTGGGCAGGACATGGCTGGCTCCCCACTGTTCCCCGCGCTGTTCCTCTCCGCCTCGGGCCCCTGGGTTGTGCGTCCCCCACTCCACTGCCCGCCTTCCACAGGGCGAGGCTCCCAGGCCCTCCCAGGTCTCCAGAGGAGACCCCAGGACTGTGGGGAAGCCTAGCGGTCTCTGGAAGCATCTGGTTTCAGGTCGCCTCCCGTGAGGTGCCCAGGAGGTGGGTGAATGCATCCTAAATGATTTGCTGTCCACAGCCCAAGTCTACCTCCTCTGCAAAGTACCATGATTGTCACAATGATCTCCATCAGCATTCTGGTGGCCAGGACGTTGGGCTGCGGCCTCTGCCCCACCCAAGCCCCGCTGCCCATCACAGACTCCTAGATCCTCCCTGGTGCCAGGCTTCCTTCCTCAAGCGGTCTCCCTGGGGACCCCCTGTTAACCACGCTTCCCGAGACCTGTGTGGCCAGGCACCCAGTGTGGGCCACCCTTCGTGCCCTGGCCAGAGACGCCCTCCCAGCCTGCTTTGCAGGTGAGTCCGTCAAGGCCTATGACACTGAGGCCAGCCAGCCTTGCCCAAGCCACCGGCTTTTAGCTGCAGCTTTGCTGAGCACCAAGTATATGGGCTCTAAAGGGGCCTCAGGGAGGCAGAGCCTGTCCCCAGCGTGGCCACTCATGATGGAAGCTAAGGATATGGCCTGCTCTCAGGCCCCAACTGGGACACAGGCTGGACCTCAGGGAGGATAGTGAGGGGTGCCTTGCATCTCACCTGTCCCCACTGAGAACCAGGGGTGCTCCTGGAGGGGACACTTCATTAAGTGGGACTGACTTCTTGTCCACCATGTGTGCGTGCAGTGACCATAGCCCACAAGTGCTTTGGAGCGAGAAGGAGCTTTGGGTTCTTTGTTTTGTTTGGCTGTAGGGTTTTTAAAATCGGAAAATGCCAAAGGGCCTTAACATGTTTGGAAAAATAAGAGTGCTCACGTTCGCGCTGACCCTGGACGCACCCTCTGGCTTCCCGTGTCCATCCTGTCCCAAGTACTTCAGGCGGGAAGAGGTAGGGGTGCAGGCAGAGCTGCCCGCGGTCCTGGAATGTTTGGGTTGGATCCCAGGCACCTGGAGCCATGCTCAGCAAGATTGGCTGTGTTTTCTTCTCAAGTTTTCCCTTCCCAGAAGCCGTGAGAAGAAAACAGAGCTGGCCCAGTTTAAGTCTCTGATTTCAACTGCAGATCTGTCCTGGGTTCTGTTCCAGAACAGCACCAGTCTGGCACTCAGAATCCTAAGTCAGGGTACAGGTGCTGCTGCTGTGACAAAAACACCCCACGTGTTGGCTTAAGCAAAATGGAGTTTTTTTCTCTCACACACAAGACCTGATAGGAGCCGCCCAAGACCCTGTGGGGCTGAGGATCTGGGGCCCTCCATCTCTTTCCTTGACCATCCCAGGTGGGCATCCTGCCCTGGAGGTCTCAGGGTTTCTCCAGGCCTGGCCATGGCATCACATTTACGTCCCTAAAGTGGGACGGCAGGCCACATCCCCCTCACAGGTGCTCCACCTGGAACCTGCCTCTGCTGGCCCTCCCTTGGTCAGAACGTGGTCACGTGGCTGTACCTGCTGCAGGAAGCCAGAGGTATACTGTTTTTGTGGCAGCCATAGTCCAAGACCAGTGTTCCATTACCAGAAAACAGGGCTCCTCGTCTCGGCATGGCTGACATTTGGAGCTGGAGACTGCTGTGGGGGCGCCTGTCCCAGGCATTGTAGGGTGATTAGCACCTCCCCCGCCAAAACCCACTTCTCGTAGCGACAACCAAAGATGTCCTCAGCCATTGCAGAATCCCTGGGGGCAAGATCACTCCCCTCCAGCCAGATCAAGGACCAGGACTCTGGTGCACACAGCGCCAGACAGGAGGGCGTGCGAGGTGGCTGGTGGACGCAGGCGGCATACCTGCTACTTGAGCTGCTGGAAGAGAGACAGAGACCCGGCTTGTCACGTGCTCACTGGCGGCACCTGATGAACAGAGAGAAAGCCGCGTGGGTGTCACGGGTGGCACTGAATCCCCCACTGAGGAAGGAGACACCCATGTCCTAAGGTCCCGAGCCTGTGAAGGCCATTATTTGGAAACAGGGTCTTTGCAGAGGTGATCTAGTTAAATGAGGTCACCCTGGGTCAGGGTGGGCCCAAATTCTGTGTAACTGGGGCCCTTATTGGACACACACGATCCCACGAGGAGCCCGCAGCACCGGCCACAGCCGTGTCGCCGTAGCCAAGGACGCGCGGGCTCAGAGCTGCGAGGAAGCGCCTTCCTCAGAACCATCAGGGGGAGCACCCCCTGCCCCTCTGGGCGACCAGGGCTTCCTGGGCTGTGAGAGGACATTTCTATTGTTTTCAGCCACAAATCGAACATGGGTACCCGGTGACCTGCTGCTGAGTGGCGGCCACCCCTTGGGTCGCTGGGTCAATCGCACGTGCAGGAAGCGGCCGTGATGTGTGTCAGAGGGCTGAGTGTGGCACTCTGCGGAGCACAGGCTCTGCTGCAGAGGGGTGACGCTGGGGCCAGGCGCAGGGGGCTTCTGGTCATGCCAGAGTGCTAATGGTGTGAGAGCCAGCTGGCGTTGGAGCCCAGCCCCTGGGCTGCGCAGCCCCCAGGTCTCCCCCACCGTGCTCTCCTCCAGCCCCAGCTCGGGGCTTACCTCCATCTGGTGCCGTGACCTTTGCCACATCCCAGGACTCAGCTTGTCCCACTGACAAGTCAGGGTGCTGGCTCTGATGTCCTGAGGCCCTCCCAGCCCTGAGACCCTGATTAGGCAAAGCTGGTTGAGATGACTGCACCGTGAGCCATTGTCATGCAGGAACAGGGGAGCCAAGGTGCCTGGAGATAAAACAAAGGACTAAGTAGCTGGCATCAGACTCGGGTATTATACTTAGAGCAACTATTTAAAAACCAAAGTACTTTTCCCTGTAGCGTTCCTCAGAATTGCCCTGGGAAACCGTGTTTGACTTGAACAAAGGGTTTGTATCGACAGGACATGTTATCGTTCAATTTCTAGGAAAGGGCGGTAATTAGATGCCTCATTCCAGATATTGTTTCAATTACAGCAGAAAAAAATACATGAATCCTGCACAGAGGCAAATACCTGCTTCTCATTACCGAGGAGGCGCGCTTCCCGACTTTGGAGGACTCACAGGAAGCCCCCGCGGCCTTGGGCTAGGGCCACCCTTGCCCTCCGCCAGGAGGGGGCCTGTGTGCGAGGGTCCTGGGGTGAAGTCCGGGCATTTGAAAACGTGAAGCTGGTGTCCAGGAGGGGGCGCCCTTCCCAGGCCCCACCCATGGGTGGCGGAGGCAGACAGAAGTTCCTCTACCACGTCCCCAAGAGGCTCAGGTGTCACCCTCTCCCCCCCAGGGAACGGGGACACAGGACCTGCTGGCCCCACAAGGGGTGGTCCCACAGCACTCCTCCTCCTGCCCTGGCCATGCCGGGAGGTCGCTGTGGGACTCGGGAGGGAAAGTACTGTGCACCTGCCCCAGCCAGCAATGGCCAAGCTCCTGCTCCGGGACACAGGTGGCTGGGCCCAGCTGCCAGTGCCACTTTGTGCTTGGGGAGGAGGACACCCAGCTGGGCAGGAGGGGACATGGCAGGACGGGACGGGGACGAGTTTGCTTGTGCTCCTTTTCTGGGCACCCCTGCACCTAGGGCACTGCTGGACCCCTCCTGCTCAAGATGGCCCCAGGGTCAACCCCAAGGGCACAGGCAGCTTCCTCTGGTGGAAGCCACTCTCCTTCAGAGGCCCCAGTCGCCTGCCCAGGTCACTCTCCATGGGCCTCCATGTCCACCCTGCATCCCTAGTGGTCTGGGTGGGCCTTAGGGCCCTGGCTCTGGCAGAGCCTGCAGTGTGGGGAGGTGGGCATTGCTCTCCTGGCCCCCGCCCTGCCAGCCCAGGTGCTGACAGGGCCTCCTCCGTCTCTGAAGGCCACAGCCCTGTCCAGCAGACTCTAGCCTTGCTCCAGGCCCTCAGGCCCAAGAGGTCCTGGCTGCACTGCTGCGGCCCTGTGGGCCCCTCTCTGCAGAAGCCTCACGGCCTCTCCCAGGAAGCACGCCCAGGGTGGCGTCCACCCCTGCTCACTCAGCAAACTCCACCCTGAGGGCATGGGGTGGGGGCCCACGAAGGGCCCTCCAGGGTGGAAACCCGGCCCAGCTTTGGCGCCCCCTCTCACGGCAGCTGTGTGCACTGAACTGAGGGCCTGTGTCCAGACCTCAGGCCACGATGCCTGCGTCCGTCCCAGAGGCATGGAGGAGGTGACTCCCTGACCACCTGTACCGCCCCCAGCTGCCCTTCTGCTCAGCTGATTATGAATCCTGCAGCAGGAGACTGCCGCGGGGGAGCCTCCCACCTGACTGGCCTGCTCACGGGGCAGTGCTGAGCACGTGCTGGTTAAATAGACAGTAAATGGAAGGCTGCTCCCCTGGGGTGGGCCGCAGGGAGGTGGGGGGCTGCAGGCGCATCTCTGCATCTGTGCCCAACTCCGTGTGGCATTTCCGCTCACGGCTGAGCCTTGGTGGCTGCCCACAGGCCCCTGTCATGTCACTCTCTGGCCAAGTCTGGACCTGCCCTGGAAGCTCCTGAGGAAGCCACAGAGACAGGGGCACCCTGGGGGCTGCCCACAAGTAGGACCCTCCCAAGCAGCAGCCCCCGAAGGCAGACACGGGCCTAGGTGACAGGACCAGTGGCAGCTTGTGGCTTCTCTGTCTTCCCCTCCATCTCCCAGGCCAACCTGGCCAGTGCGCCTCCCCATCAGGTCTCCGTGGGTCCCCCAGTGAGGAGCGCTAATGTGAGGCCTGGGGTGGACGGCTCCTGGGCCAAGGGTGGGAAGGTGAGTGGTGCGATCCCTGGTGTCCCCTGCTCTGAGCAAAGGGTCCCAGGGCACATTCTGTGTTTAGCTGGGAGATGAGCAGAGTCAGAGACCAGCTAGGCAGAGATGCGAAGCCAGACCAGGGAGAAGGACAGGGTAGCACATGGCAAGAGCCCTTTTAAAAGGTTCCAATGGGCAGGGCTGAGTGGACTGCACACACAGGGGACGTGGCTCTGGAGGGTGCCCAGTGCAGGCACAGCAGGGGCCAAGGGCCGTGTTCCCTGCTTGGAATGTGGAAGGGAGGCAGGGTGGACGGCGTCCAGGCCAGCGCTGGAGGCTGGTCCCTGTGAGGGGCCAGCCTTGGTGGGGGTTCACCCAGTGTCAAAGCCAGGTATGGCAGGAACTGATTCTGCCTGGTCACTATCCAGCCCAGGACCCTCGGGCCGCTCAGTCTCAACGTCTCCAGAGAGATTCCTCGGGATGGGGTGTACCCATGCGGGCTTTGGAGAGCCCAGGCCCTTGTCTCATTATGCCATTAGAAGTGGGTATCCATGGAAACCATGTAGTCGGGCACTCGACAGAGAATACTTATTCAATTAGAGGGGCCTGGGGTGCCAGGGAGACCTTGGCTCTGGGCCTGATTACAGCAGGACCTCTGGGGGGACCCATGCTAGCCTGGACCTCCTGACCTGATAGCCCTTCAAGGTTGCCCGCTGAGCTGGTCCCTGCTGACCTGTGCTGTGGGGCTGAGGACCGGGAAGGGCAGCCAGAGTGGAACATGGACCAGCAGGGGGGCTGGGGCGTGGGGCAGGTCACTGAGACTCTCCTGCCCCCCAGGCTGGTCCACCTGTGATGGGGAAGCTGGAGGCCTGTGGGGCTGCCAAGCCTGGCGCACAGTAGGCGCCCCACAGGGAGCCCTCTAGTTGGAAAGACCTCGTGAGCCGAGGACGGTCCCGGCAGCACAGGGTGAGGGCGTGTTCCTGTCCAAGCTGCATCAGGTGGCGGCTGCCTCATGACTTGAAGCCCTCACTGTGCACACCGCCTGCTCACCTGTGCCGCCCTCGGACGGGCATGCCTGTGGGTGCCCGGCCTAGTGGGGGGTGGGGTGCAGTATTTCAAAACCTCAGGCTGGCCAGGGTCCGCTGTGTGCGGGGCGGGACTCCTGCCCAGGGCCTTGCTGTGCCACGGCTGTAGGCCTGCCTGTCTGGTTTCATCAAATGCGCGTGCTTGAGTGTGAATCTGTGTGTGTGTGTGTGTGTGTGTGTGTGTGTGTGGAGGGCACCCTCGAGCCCTGTCTGAGCTTCGGAGGGGACAGTGTCAGGAGCAGTTACCCAGACTAGGTCAGGGGCCTTTGTGATGGCACCGGGTGGCTCCCCTTCCAGCTGCACCCCATTTCCGGGAATGAGGCTCCCTGCCTGGGATGTGTGCTTGACACTTGCTCCTGGGAACGCCTGGTGCAAAACGTCCCCTTCAAATCCGGTCTTAAGTAGGAAGTGCTCCTGGGGGCCCGGAGAAGGCCACCAACATGTCCAGACTCAGCTGCTGCGGAGGAGGAGGACCTGGGCTGCCTGGGAGCAGGACCTGCTTCAGCGTGGGAGAGGCATCAGGCCCGTCCCATGCCAGCCGGCCCGGCCTCCTCATCGCCGTGGCTCAGGACAGAGGCGAACGGCCCGGAAAAGCTCCCTGTGCAGACTCTCCGGAGAAGATGAGGTGAGAAGAGCACCTCCCACACTGGGCACCCCAGCTGCCCTCTTGAGAGGTGGTCAAGGGCAGCGACTGGCCTCAAGATGCACACGGCCACAAAGCACAGAATGGGTTCCACCAGGGGGCACAAGACAGGCATCTCCCCGGCACCTCCCACCCGAATCTCTGCTCAGGAGTTGACAGGTGCCTACCTCGCCTCCTGCCCCACCTCAAGCACCAGGGGTGCAGCCTGCCGTGCTGGGGACCCTGTGACGGGAAACAGGTCGGATGCCCTCGGGACGTGCTTGTCTTGTGGGGTGAATGGAGTTTCAGGAAAGTGAAGTCACATCTGTGTTTGGTGGCCGGGAAAGGAAGGGCGCGTCTCAGACTGCAAAGCCACTTTCCAGAGGCTTACAGACCATCGTCACAGACAGCTGAGACGCAGGGACAGAGGGGGCAGAGTCCTGCTCTTCGTAAGGGGCTCACAGCACCTGGGGCACTCCCCACAGAAGTCCTCTCCCTCAGTGTGGGGGCCCCAGGACATGCCTTGCTGACCCCCATGCGCCTCCTGCCCTGGGGACACGAACCAGCACAATGATTGGATTCCAGGTGGGGGAGTGAATGGGGAGCCCCGGGGGCCACACTGGGGACGGGAAGCACTCCTCTCAGGAGCCAACAGGGGCACCAGTGTGCCTCCTCCCTGGGGAGTTGTCCCTGCAGAGTCCAAGGCTGGTCTGCAAGTCCCTAGCCTTCAGGAGTAAGCACTGCTGCCAACCTAACCTGACAGCTCCGAGACACAGAGGTCACTGAACACCAGGACGCGGCCCTCGAGGGCCCAGAGTGACCAACACAACCTGCTATGAAGCAGCCACAGATGTGCTAAAGCAGAACCAGCAAGACCTGTGGAGGGGCATCCGTGATGGATGGATAGAGACCAAGAGGGTGGAGCAGAAGACCAGAGGGGGAAGGGAAGGAGGAGCTGACCATGTCCATCCGTCATTCTGTCCTTTGCCTCAGGAAGACCAGGCTCTGGAGGCCAGGGGAAGTTGTTTCTCCCACTCTTCCAAAGAGGCTTGCAAGGCTGGGTCAACCTGGGCCTTTCCTCCTTGCTTCCCAGGTCAGAGCCCGAGGCCTCCCACCTCCACCTGGCCCTGGGTCCCACCCTCCCTCCTGGAACCGGGAGCATTCTCCCATCCTGCCTTCCCTGTGGAAAGACCCTGGGCCCGTGGCCCACCCTCCCTCTCTGTACCCATCCGGAAGGCCAGTGCCCAGGCCCCTGTGCTGGGAAGCTACAGGGCAGCCCCAGGACAAGCTGCCACCAAGTCTGCTGCCAGCCCGCCCGGTGACCTGGGGCAGGTGCTTCCGTGTCTCCGCCCCCCACAAGAACGATGCCACGTGGCAGTGTTGTGAGGACCTCACCAATGGCACATTGGGCCTGAGGACCCATGAGTCCTGCCCCTCCCCCAGCTCCGGCCCCTGGAGACCCAGAGCTCTCTGCTTCCCGGGTCCCGAGCACCTAGCATGGTGCCCAGCATACCGCAGGTCGCATGGATTGCTTGTTCAATGAATGTTCTAGAACAGGAGTGGGCAACCTGTGGCAGCACGGGGCTGCTGCTGGAGCTTGAGTAAGGGTTTATTGGACACAGCAGTGCATATGACCTACTGCCTGGCCTCTGGCTGTCCTCCTGGGACGGGGTGGAGCTGAGCGGCTACAACGGGGACCCACGGATCACCACACTGAGCACATGACTGCCTGGGCCAGGTGCGAGATGAGGCGGCATCAGTGGGGGTGACAGGGGACATCTGCTTCCCTGTTTGCCGCTCGGCAACAGCTAGAGCAGGTCTGTGTCTCAGTTTCCCTGTCTGTTCAAAGATGGGGCCGGATCAATAGTCCCTAATTTTCCTCCTGGGTTTAAATCAACAGCAACTACTTAAGCGGGATTTTGTTGAATTCTACATGATTCACAAGGAATGATGTAAGGAAAGAAAGTAACTTCAGGAGGACACGGGAGGCCGGAGCCCATGCACACCCCTGCAGAGCATCCAACGGCTCAGGCCACGTGGAGAGCACGCTGAGCTTCCTCAAGAAAGTCAAAAGGAGTGGGTATGTCTCTGTGAGAGGGCGTGTCCAGGGTGCACGAGGCCTGGGTTCCTGCCCAGCACCTTGGGCACGCACACACAAGCACATGCACACACATGCACGCACACTCACAACTTGAAAACAGATTTGCTGTCATATCCAGCAATCCCACTTTTAAAAAAGTAGAGAAAGACACATGACCACAGAGAAGGACCTTGAGGACATGACGCTGGTGAAATAGGCCAGTTGCCTTTAAAGGGTCAGCCCTGTTGGGGTCCACAGTAAGAGAATGGCGTGCTGGTTGCCAGGGGTGCAGGTGGAAGGCAGACAGTTCCGGGGAGGATGGGACGGTGGCCTTACAGCAACGCGCACGTGCTCACCGTTGACCAGATGGGGTGGGAGATTTCGTGTTGCACATACTTTGTTACAATTAACAATTCTTCAAGAGGCGAGGGCCAGGTGAGCTCTCCTGGTTCTGGCCTCACTGGCAGCCCCTGACCAGCCTCAGCAGGGATGCCAAGGGCTCGGGTGCCTGTGGGACAGGGTAATGGTTAGTGTGAGCGGCCGCGGCCCCGTGGCTCTGTGCCCATGGCCAGGCTCCTTGGGGATGCTCTGTGCACGGATCCAGCCACACAGGGCCAGGCTGGGCACCTGCCTCTGCGTGCTCTCCACACCTCTGTCTGCCTGGCAGCCCCTGCCGCTGCCCAGGTCCCCGGCTCCAAGAGCCCCGGGCCAGTGTCCGGGAGTGTGCATTCTGACTGAGCTGCCGGGATGCTGACCCACGTGGGCCGAGAAACTGCTTTAGAATTCCAGAGATTGTAATCATCTGATTTCACTTCTTCCAAAATAGGTCTGACGACCCCTTCGCAGCCTGGCAGTCTCAGGAAGGCATTTACGGAGCGTGGATTCTGCCCATTGTCCGCCCTCTGAACTGCTGTGGAGCTCCCACAGGCCGGGGCGGCTGCTCAGCACCCGCACATGGGTGTGTCGTCACCGCAGATCATCCCCACAGCTGGCCCTGTGCCTCCCAGGGTTCTGGAGGGGCACAGTGGGACATGTGCTGGCTGCCCTACGAGATTCTGCGGACAGCAGAGGTTTGCCGGCACCAGGTCTGCTCCACGCCGTGTGGACCCCAGGGCTTTTGTTGATTTTAAAAAACATTTTGTTTAGGAATATCTTCAAGCTATGGAAAGCTACGAAAATAAACACCAGACACCTTTTACTTATACCTTCTACCCCGTTCATCCACCTTTTGCTCACTTGTGCGTGCACGCTCACTCTCTCTCTCTGTCTCTTTCTCTGTCTCTCTCTTTGTGACTCTGTGTCTCTCTGTCTCTTTCTCTGTCTCTCTGTCTCTCTCGCTGTCTCTCTCTGTCTCTTTGTATCTCTCTGCTCTCTGTGTCTCTCTGTCTCTTTCTCTGTCTCTCTGTCTCTCTCTGTCTGTCTGTCTCTCTCTCTCTCTGCATGTATGTGACTCTTTTTCAGAACCGTTAAGATTAAGTGGCAGAGCTCACAGTCCTTTACCCCCCGGGAAGCAGAGGACACCTCTTTCATGCCCTCGGTGACGTGCTGGACCCCAAGGGGGTGGGGTCTGCCTTGGGTGGAGCCGCTATCTCCGCCCTCTCCGGCTTTCTTCCCCGGCACAGGCTGCTCCAGGGTCAAGCACTGCAGCACTTGTCTCTCTGGTTTTCTTTCCTCTGGAACTTTTTCACAGACTGTCTTTGTCTTTCATGTTGCAGACATTTTTGAAGAACACAGTGCCCTCTTCCCTTGGGCGGCCCTCATTTGGGTTTGTCCATGTTGCCCCTGGGGGCCTGAGGGGACGCGTTTTCGGCTGCATTCCACACTCTTCCTGACTCTCCCGGGCACACAGTGTCCTTCCAACCTCTGCTGCTGGTGTTTTTGAGAAGTTGGTCAGGAGTTGTCTGATTTATCTGCACTACAATTACTCTTTATTTTCTGGAAACATAAACATTCTTGGGGGAGACACTGTACGACACAGAGCACATCTGCTCCTACAAACTCCCCCAGATCCGGCATCTTTCATGACTCTCCTCTACCCAGCACTTCCCCACACTGAATATCTTGGCATCCTGCTGAAACTACAGCCTTCCATCTCACCTGTCTCCCTTCAATCACCCAGTCACCATCTACCCAACTATTATTCATGCATGCATGCATCCACCCCTCCCTCCATTTATCATCCACCCATCCATTAATTCACCTTCCATCCATCATCCATCCCTCCATCCAACCATTCATCCCTCCTTCCTCCATTTATCATCCATCTATCCCTCCATCCACCCAACCATCCTTCCCTCTCTCCATCCGTCATCCATCCCTCCATCATCCATCCATCCATCCTTCCCTCTCTCCATTCATCATCCATCCCTCCATCATCCATCCATCTATCCCTCCATCCACCCAACCATCCTTTCCTCTCTCCATCCGTCATCCATCCCTCCATCATCCATCCATCTATCCCTCCATCCACCCATCCATTCTTCCCTCTCTCCATCCATCATCCATCCCTCCATCATCCATCCATCTATCCCTCCATCCACCCATCCATTCTTCCCTGTCTCCATCTATCATCCCTCCCTCCCTCCACTTATCATCCATCCACCCATCTACCCACCCATTAGCGGCTCGCCCTTCCCTCCACATACCATCCTTCTATAGACCCACACATCCCTCGTCAGTCCTCACCCATCATCTATCATCCATCCATCTCATCTGTCTGTGTATCTGTCTGTCCCTACCTATCATCTGCCTATCATCCATCATGATCTATTTCCAGTCTGCTCTTTGAATGCCTGCTTTCAGCGATGTATAACTCACCGCTGTGCTTCATTGTCTTGGTGCTCAGTTGTTCCATGTTTGGCCAAAGAGCCCCTTCAAGCTGGCTCCTGAGTCTGTGACATGCCACTCTTTTTTTTTTTTTTTTTTGAGCACTTTCTTACTTTCTGGCATAACAAGATGTTCCAGTCTAATTTTGTACTTTTCTTGCCCCAGCCCTAAAATCACTTATTTCTCCCAGGAGCCAGGGCTCCTTTTAGTGGGAGTGTGAGAAACTGAGTTCTGTGTGCCAAGGTCAAAGACAAGGTTTGAGCCTCTCAGTGGACAGGTCTAGGAGATAGCCCAGACACCTGCCTGCACCCAGGCCCACGGAGCACAGCTGTGTGCTCGTACACATGCACACGAGTGTGCACACATGCACGCCTGTGTCCTTGTTGGAGACCCCCGCCATCCTCCCTGGCCCTGTGCCTTCCACAGCGGTCTCTCTTCTTCCAACCGCGTGGACACATTGTGCATTTGCGCAGACCAGAATGCACCTGCGAAAACTTTAGGGTGGTTCTGTCCACCCACACACCCTGCTAGAGGACACGGTCCCAGTGTCCCTTCCCAGGTGGAAGCCAGGCCGTGTTCTGAGCGGCCAGGACCAGTTCCCTGTCCTTTGCACTCCCTGGGCAGCTTCCTCACTTGACACGCAGCGGCTCTTCTTTCCGTTTCCTTCTCCCTCTTTCTCCTGCTCGTGACTTTAATCTAATTTACTTGGTAGAACATTAACGTCTTCCCGGGGTCAGGGAGTATGGCGCTGCTCCCTGGAGAGCGGCTTCTCCCTGGAGAGCGGCTGTCCCCAGCCTGTCCTGCTCTCTGGAGGCTGGGCCCTTCCTCTCCCACCACAGCTCACCTCCTGCACTCTCGGGCCTTGTGTCTTCCACCTGCGAAAACATCCTGGAAATCATACGGGAAAACAAACAAACTCAGGACCAGGTTCCCAGGAGGCCTGGGACAGCCTGGACACAGGAAAGGAACCAACCCGCTCTTGGTGGGGGGCGCAGCAGGCAGCCACAGCAGAGCGCTTTAAAAGTGGCCTGGACGTGGGGGGGCGGCAGCCTTGATCTGAGCAGGCGCAGGGCTGCCCCACCTGCCCCCGCGCCTCCCCTGTGGCTCTTCCTGGCCACTCTGGCGGTTGATGGCTCCACACAGACCTTGGTGTCGAGTGCAGCTCTGTCTAAAGGAAGAGCTCATCGGGTCTCCACCAGGACCTGGGGGGCCACCCCAGGTTAGGAGAACCGCGGTCCAGGTTGGGCGTCCTGACCACTCCACGTCAGTCCTGTGTCCTCAGGTGTCCTAGGGCCCCCTGTGTGCTCCTAGGTTCCCGGTCCTGGCTGTTCCCGATGCCCCTCACGCCAGGCCTGCACCCTGGTGGCTCAGTGAGCAGGGCAGGAGGCGCGCGGGCTGACCCCTCCCCCGCTGCCAGGCCGTGGCTGCTTCTCTGCCCAGCGACCCTGCATCTTCTCTCTGGGGTCTCAGCTCGTCCTCTGTGGCCTTCAGGGCTGGAAGCCCACTGTGCGTCCCCTGACGTGACCACACCACTTCCTAGGCAAGGCCGTCCTGAAGGCAGGAGTGAGGCTCAATGATGGCCCGAGTCCTGGGCGGAGCTTCCAGGACCCTGAGAAGCAGGCACTTTCTTTTCACCAGAGAAGGAAACAGCTGGGGCTGTTCCTGCCACCAGGAAGCTCAAGCCTCTGTCACCCAAAGCAGAATCACGAACCAGGGAGGCTGAGTCCTGGGAAATGGTTGAGCCCCTAGATGCAGCCATGCCTGAGTCCTGCATCCAACCCCAAGTTCTCTCCATTACGTCAGCCAATAAAGTCATGTTTTTGCTTAAGCTGGTTTGGTTTTATTTCTGTTCTTTGCCTCCAGAGTCTCCTGACTTGCACACAAGCTTGTCCCTCCCCCCAGCAGGATTTTATGAGTGGGGTGAGGATGACACTCAGGGAGCCCAAACACAAGAGCCAAAGGCCTTCAAAGAAGGCCTGGCCTGCCATGCGGCCTACAGGAAGTGTGAGGTGCCACTCAGCTCTGGGCCCCGAGGCCCCTGGGGTGGTGCTCTGGCCTGCACAGGTCATGATTCTGTGGGCCCAGAACCAGCTGACCAGACAGCGACCCCTAGAATCTTCAGAACAAGCTGCGATGACCATTTCCATGTCTCGGTCCTCGAACGAGCCTGGGAGCATGTCCTAGCAGTGCCCCTGTGTGCGGTTGATAAAACCCAGGCTCGGAGGTCAGCTGGTCTGCCTGGTCACCCAGGGAAGCTGAGTCCCTCGCAGGACGGGCTGGCTGGCTTACTTCATGGTCACGTCTGGAAAGGTGTGGGCCCAATATCTTGGCATCACGCCCAGCCAGGCTGACCCTGGAACTGACCACCACCAGTTTGACCAGCCAGATCTGGCACAGCCTGGTGAGGAGCAGTGGACTCTCCCCAGGGCCTCCAGATGGGAGCTGAGCCCAGGGCTGGTGGCCTGGCTTGGGGACCTGGGCTCTGGTGGGCTAACTGCAGGCCAGAAATGCGTCGTGTGCCCCAGGGGCCTGGTGGGGTGTCGCAGGCAGAGCCTCCGTGACAGCCTGGCTGCCAGGACAGTGAGGGGCAGATGCTGTGTAGCCGTCTGGACGTCGGCCCAGCCCTGTGCCCACTCCAAGGTGGGCTGGAGCTGTCTCCACACCAGCAGGACACACGTCTCGGGTCAGTGCTGCTAGTGAGGTCCACTGTCCCGTCTGCCGGGGAGGCCTGGGGAGCGGCCCAGACCCTCCACCTGGTGCGGGCCCTTTCCTCCTCTTCCTCTTCTTGTGCGGCCCCAGGAAAGGCTTTCATTTGACAGAGTTCCTGTTCAAGTTGTCAGTCGTGCCGATCGCCTGGGAGAGGCAGCTGGACGCCGGTCCCCACCCGAGCACAGAGGGAGAGGGGCTCAGACTGTGGGGTGCCTCCAGCACCCTGCTCCTGGTCTCCCGGACAGCGCCAAAAGAGGAGATCTTGGTGCCGTGGGAGACTGCTGTGGGGACAGGCTCTGGCAGACCCCGAGAGCCACAGAACACGGAGGAGCCCCGGGCCGTCGCACCAGCCTCGAGAACTCGGAGGCCTCCCTTGACAAGACAGTGAAATTAGGGCTAAACAGCGACCTGTGACTCTGGGCTCACAAAGTACCTGCTGCTTGCTGTGCACAAGTGTGTCCTTGTGAACGTCATCCTCGACTGTCCCACCCGTCACCTCATTTCCCCTTCCCACCAAGCCCTTGAGGGGGGTCTTATGGCCAGCACGATTTCCAGACAAGGAACAGAGTCCAGAGAGATCCAGACACTCGCCTGAAGATACACAGCAAGGAAGGGTCAGTACCAGAGTCACCCCTCCCAGTCCTGTTACCCTCTGGAGAGGACATAAGC